GGCCCTTTGAGATCGTTTACCATAAAACTCTTTGACAGTACAAACCAACCAGTCATGCAATTGTCCAGGGATTGCCATTGCTCCATTTGCTGTTGTCCTTGTATTTGTTGCCTACAAGAGGTAAACAGCTTTTTCTTTCCTGTGCCCAACTTTTGATTCTTTCGGTTAAATCAGTTTCCTTATCATCAAGAGAACAGTTTTTGTGAATTCCTTCTAGTGCAACTTCCAACAACTCGGCAAGTCGTGTCTTTTGTTACATGTTTTGAGTATTTCAGAGGATTGATTTTACAGCTTTGTTTCAATTGGGAAGCTTTCTAACAACTAGATAGACCAAATAAATATTTACAAAAGCTTTTGTAAGCTTTTGAATTACCAGAAACCTATCATCAGGGAAGATAGTTAAATTTTCAAGAAGAAAGACATTGCAGAATGGGGATGTAGTTAATGTTATACTCTTTCACCAAATGTGAGAATAATTGTGAGGCAAGGAGATTGCAGAATATCAGGAAAACAAATAGTATTCTGTTACCAAGAAATAATTAGTGCCCTCCTTCATTTGTGGAAAAATTAAATTTAGCTACTAATGATTGCATCTGTAATAAACAGATCCTTCTATTGTGTAAGGGCAGGACTGTTTTTTGTTCTGAAGCTACATTATCCTTTTCAAGTGATAGTTACAACTCTCTTCAGTTTATTTCCACATGAACACAGATTTATCTTGCTCCAAGCAACCCTTTTGCCTTAAAGCAGGGGTCCGCAACCTATGGGCCGCGGCCCAGGACCAGCTGTGGGCTCTTAGCCAGCGGGCTGCGGAAATGGCTGACCAGTGCACGCACATGTGGGCATGCATTCTCACTTGCGGTGGAACCCGCGGCCCTGTTTGTGCATGTGCACGGGCACAAACAGGTCTGCTAGCTGCTGTGGGGTGCACGACCATTTGCGCATGTGCATGGCACCAGCACATGCCGCATGCGCAAATGGGGCTGCTAATGCCGCACCAGTGCATGTGGCCCCGTTTGCATGCACGCGTGTGCACCAATTTGGGAGCTGCTTTCCTTCCCTCCAGGCCGTGTGCCCAGAAAGATTGGATACCTCTGTCTTAAAGCATGACTCTCCTATCAACTTAGGCAAAAGGGTACCTGTTATACCAGACTACGTATGACACATACAAATATTAACATTAACATAACATAGAAATAATAAAACTATTTTTAAAATAAAACTTGTGAGATAATCAAATTCCTTGAGTCAGTCAGTCAGTCAGCAATGTGCTTCTACTGCCAAAATAGCCAACACAGTCCTAGGCTGCCTCAACAGAAAAATAGCATCAAGATCACAGGAAATGATAGCTACTTTATACTGCACTAGTGAGACCACATTTGGAATACTGCATCCAGTTCTGTTCACTACGATACAAAAAAGATGTTGAGGGCTTAGAAAGAGTGCAGAGAAGAGCAACAAAGATGATGATAGGGTCAGGAAGTTAAATTGTATGATGAATGGCTAAGCAAACTAGGTATGTTTAAGCTAATGGAGAGAAGGCTTAGGGGAGACATTAGAGCAGTCTTCTAAATCTTGAAGGGCTATCCCAAGGAAAAGAGCATTGATTTATTCTCCATAGCACCCAAGGCCAGGACAAGATGCAATGGAGAGGTGAAGGAAAAACACAGGGATTTCCTGATAGCGAACATGATTAATCGGTGGAACAACTTGTTTTCCAGAGTTGTGGGTGCTCCATTGCTGGAGGTTTTCAAGAAAATATTCGACAACCATTTGTTCTGTCCTTGACTTAAGACCATAATTGAGCCCAAAATTTATCTTGATAAGTGAGAAATGTGTTAAGTGACCTTTGTCCCATTTTACAACTTTTTTGCCACATTTGTTAATAATAATAATAATAATAATTTAATTTGTACCCCGCCCTTCTCCTCATAGGACTCAGGGCAGCTAACAGCCTCATAAAAACCACAATACAATAATACAATAATATCTATATTAAAAACCGAATTAAAAGAAAATATTTAAGAAGGCCAATCATTAAAATTACCCTTAAAATTACCCTTAAAAAACCCCGCTAAAATTCCCTAGGCCAGACCCGCTTGTTGAAAAAGCCATGTCTTTAGGGCGCAGCGGAAGGAGGGGAGATCCGGGATCACCCGGATCTCTGGGGGTAGTTCGTTCCAGAGGGTGGGGGCTCCCACCGAGAAGGCCCTCCCCCTGGGGGTCGCCAGCCGGCACTGTCTGGCTGACGGCACCCTGAGGAGACCCACTCTGTGGGAGCGTACCGGCCGATGGGAGGTAATCTGCGGCAGAAGGCGGTCTCGGAGATATCCAGGTCCGAATCACTGCAGTTGTTATCACTGCAGTTGTTATCACTGCAGGTCCGAATCACTGCAGTTGTTAAATTAATAACACAGTTGTTAAGTGATTCTGACTTCGCCACTGACTTCGCTTATCAGAAGGTGGCAAAAGGGGACCGTGGGACTCAGCAACCATCATAAATATGAGACAGTTGCCAAGTATCCAAATGTAAATCACATCATCCGAATGGATACATTCATCCTTATGGAAAAACATATTAAAGTGGCCTTCCAGCATGGCAGTTGCAATACATGAATGAGGGTTTGAGAGTAAACAGGTCTAAAGTATTAACATCCAAGCACAATTCCTAAGTACTTTGGAAACTAAGTTTAGATCATTTGGTATGTGTATATTGAGAATTTGTTTCAGCATCTCTCCTCTTTATATTGCACTGGAAGACAGACATATTCCTACTACAGGAAGGCAAGACCTCAAGAACCTTTTTGGGGGTTAGAAGGGAAGGATGGGAAGATACTTAAGGCTAAGAAAGAAATTTACCTTCTCAGGTATACTTCTGTTTTGTCTCTATCATCTATTAATTTTGTCAAATAAGATCTTCAAGTCTTCTTATTTTAACCTTCAGTATTAGGGTGCACTGATTTTGACTGAATGAATGAAATCTTGTTTGTTTATTTTTGTGCTAGATAACTGAGATTTCCCCCTCTGTCTCTCTCTTTTAGCTTGAAGTACAGGCACCTCTAGGTAACATCATTGGATATGTGAAACAAAAGTGGCATCCATGCCATCCAAGATTTACTCTACAGAATGAGGCCAGAGAAAATGTTCTTAAAATTACTGCATCTTGTGTGCCTTGCCAATTCTATCAGGATGTTAATTTTGAGGTAAACACATCCTCCATTTACTATTTATTAATAAGGCCGTGGACTTGAACTATATACACTAATTTATTAATTTTATATGCCACCCATTTTACTCTGCAAAGCAATTCAGGGTGGCTGTAGAAATTCTTATTTTTATTTTTTATCATTTCTAGATTGTCTGTTTAAATTGTAATTGTGGCTTTTTCTTATAATAATTATTCCAGAATATTTTTATTGTGTAGACAATTAACAATTCTGAAGGTTACAGATGAGATTACTGAGTTTTGTTTTTGATGGAATTCATGTTCTTATCAAGCTCTGTTTTTTCTAAGTTTTTATCTTCTTTTATATCCTTATAAATGAACCAGCAGTGTGCAGCAGCAACCAAAAAAGCTAATACAGTCCTGGGTTGTATAAACAGAGGCATAGAATCAAGATCACACGAAGTATTATTACCGCTTTATAAAACCCTAGTAAGACCACACCTGGAATACTGCAGCCAATTTTGGTCACTATATCACAAAAAAGATGTTGAGAGTTTGGAAAAAAAGCAGAGAAGGTGATCAAAGGCCTGGAGACTAAAACATACGAAGAACAGCTACGGGACTTGGGTTTGGCTAGTCTAAAGAAAAGAAGAAATAGGGGACACATGATAGCAGTGTTCCTGTATCTGAGGGGCTGTCACAAGGCAGAGGGGGCCAGGTTGTTCACCAAAGCACCAGATGAAGGTCGAGAAACAATGGTTGGAAACTGATCAAAGAGAGAAGCAACCTGGAATTAAGGAGAAACTTCCTGACAGTGAGGACAATCAACCAGTGGAACAGCTTATTCCCAGAGATCGTGGGTTACTATTTTAAGTAATATATTCATGTTAACAGTCATAGTTTATGTGATAAGATGAGTTTAAATTTTTCCAGCTTTCTCAATCTTTTATCATTTATTTCCTTAATTTGGTGAGTTATTTTGAAAGATAACTTTGTTATCACTTGTCAATTGTAATCCCAAATAGGAAAGAATAAAGGAGTATATTTCAATTGAAACATATACCAGCCAAAAGAAAAAAAAACTGCCTTTTGTTCTGATTAGGATTGGGATTTACAAAATGACAAAAACACTATGACATTTTAAAAAATTAAAAATTTTCCTTGATGCAGAGTGGACTCATAGTAATCCAATAGTGGAATTAGAAATATTGAAAAAGACAAAAAAGTTGTTTTTAAAGTGGAATACAAATGACCATGCCAACAGAATGATCCTTATAAGAATTTTTTATTTGTTATACAAAAGAAGTTGTAAAAGAGGTTTTAAAAATTAAAGGGGAAATGCAATTGATAAATCAAAACAATGACCTAGATAATGTCTTTCCATTGAATTTACAAAAGAGACTTGTTAAAGCAGTGGTTCTCAACCTTTTTAATGCCGCGACCCCAACCGGTCGTAAGTCAAGGACTAAACCGATCGTAAGTCGAGCACTAAACCGGTCGTAAGTCGAGGACTAAACTGGTCGTAAGTCGAGGACTACCCAACCGGTCGTAAGTCGAGGACTTTCCCTGCCCGGGAACGCCGCGCATGCGTGGTTCCGCCCCATGCGCCGGCCGAGGCGTAGCTGGCAAAGCGGCAGAGACGAAGCAGGCCGACCACCAGCTGGCCCAGCCCAAGGGAGGTAAGACACTCACTGGAAAAGGGGAAAAAAATGGCGGACAAAAAAAATGGTGGACAAAAAAAATGGCGGACAGCCTTGCTTGGCGACCCCCATGAAATGGTCGATCGACCCCAAATGGGATCCCGACCCACAGGTTGAGAACCACTGTGTAAAAGCCTTGAAGAAGCTTATGTGATAAGATGAAGAATTCAAGAGAAATCAATCTATATCAGTAATTGAATGAATTAAAGATTAAGATTTTTCAGAAATAAAAGGAAGAAATATAAAATTGGTTTATTTCATTAAGGGTAAAATAGAACATTTTTATGAAATTCTGGCAACACATTTTGGATTTTTTTGCTAATACCAGTGTTGAAAATTTGATCTTTTATGTATTTGCTTATAGACAAGAAATGGGTTATAGGAAGAAGATATATCTGTTTGTAATCTTATAGAAGATGAAAAGCTACCAAACTTGTTTATTCTTGTGATGAAAATTAGAAGCCACTTCTTTATGTTTTTTTTCTGTTTCTTTATTTCACTCTTTCCCTTTTCTTTCTTTCATTTTTTTCTTTATTCTTTTTATTTTTTCTTTTACTGTCCTTTCTCTCTCTGAGTATAGTTTGTATTTGTTTTTATTAGTGTAATTAAAATCTTACGTAAAAATGTACGTATAGAATACTTATAAATCTAAAGGACTTGTGCTGATCACCTTGAAGTAACATGATGCTTTTCAATGAATGTAGTATTTATTTATATTGAAATTTCTTATTTAACTGTTTGAGATATTGTCTTGCTATCTGAGATATCAGTATGGGGAATTTAAACACTGGGAAAAAAGATGTAATAATTTGTTAAATATAATGTTTATATTAAAATGTTTAATACATTTTAGAAAGAATAAAATCTGTTCTTTTTTCTTTTGTTCTTTTTAAAATCAGGTGAAAACTGTAGATGGGAAATCTACAATTGGAAACATAGTAAAAAAATGGACTGGTTTAGCAAGAGAGGTTGCTACAGATGCAAGCATTTTTCAGATCCGCTTTCCAATGGATCTTGATATTAATATGAAAGCAGTCATAACAGGGGCTTGCTTTCTTATGGTAAGTCCTAGGCCTAAAACATTACAATTCTGAAAACAATGGGTTCACGAAGCTAGTAAAAAGAATTTTGGACAAATTAGCTCTTAGCATGGCCCATGAATAACATCTCCACTTTCTTTAGTGGCAGTACACAGAAGGTGTAGGATAGGAGATTGAAACTTGGTATGCCTAGGATTATAATTTAGACAGAAATCTTGCCTCTGCAACCTTAGCTCTAGCAGCTCAGATCATCCATTTAATTTGAGATTTTGCTGTGCAGCTAGTTGCCTTAATCTGCACTGAATGTAGAGGTATAGCAGCGAGGACAGTGTAATTTAATCTCTTGTGACGCAATAAGAGCCTGTTGGTCTTAAGAAAAATGTTTTTATGACATCAGCTCCACCATCTATTAGGTGAGTATACAGTATGTAGGTTAGATCCATATACTTTTAGGTTGATTAAGTTTCCAGGAAGGTGAAGATGGGGTGAAGATGGAGACTGCAAGAGGTAGTAGTTCACCTGTCCTCAAGAAAACATCATTTGATTCAACTCTTTTAGAGAATTACCAACTAACCCTCACTTTTTGCTCTTGTGAATAACCTGTGGTGACATTGTGATAAGGAGTGAGGCATTTCTAGTTCTACTTAGTCTGACAGTAACCTTCTACACTACCAATCATCTTCGGAGGTTGGTAATAAGAGGAGACACTGTTTGCACTGGAGAGGTTATTAGATATTCCAAAAGTCTTCTCATACATCAGGAGTTTGTAGGTTACTTCAAGAACTTCAGGTAACCTTCATTCAGGAGTAGCAGATGTAAAATATGAATAAACAAGGATTTTAGTCTGAAGTTTTTTTGACTAACATTTTTTCCTATTCTTTTACATTTTAGGATTTCATGTTTTTTGAACGTGGAAACAGAAGGAATGATCATCGACGTAGGCGTTAGTTCAAGTCAGGACATTAAGAGTCTTATCACACTGAATTAAGCTTGCAGGAGGATTTTTATTAAAGTTGCTTATTTCAATATTTACAATCATACCTTCAACTATTATACCATTTATGTCAGAATACTCCATATAACTCAAATTTTCATCAAATATTGACATACAGTATATTGATATCCATATATAATAATAAAGATATATAGTATATAAATTTGGCTAATTTTCACTCCGCAAACAAATATACTCCCATTTGCCATTTTTTACTGCTCTTATATATTAAGAATTGCCTTCTGTTATGTTTTCCTTTTTTATTTTCTGTAATCACACTGTGTATTGCAGTACTAAAATGAACCAAAGTGGGTATCTCAATATTCAGACAATTAACAGACAAATTCAATAAAGTTGATATTTTCTGCTTTGAGTCATTTATTAAAGGAATCATTAATACACTTGCTTCCTGAAGCTCTAACTTTAGTCCACCCTCCAACTGGCAATCATATCCAATATAGAATAATATTATTTTCCTGAACTCTCTACCATATTTATGATTAAGTGGCAAAGAGTAATAAGTGGGCAAGTTCTTTTGAGAGCAAGAATAATTAGATTACCTTAATTGCTTGAGTCAGATTTATGTCCAATAAATGTTTTAAAGCCAAACATCTTAAGGAAACCAAAAGACCTACTAGTCCTAGGAGAAAAAAACTAGGAGTCATTTACGGCATACGGAATAAGGACTGTAACAGCTATTAAGTAGGACAGACAAAAGACTAGCAGAGCACATTCATTAGCACCAACTAGCAATCAGAAGAAATGATGAAAACTCCTTAATCACTAAACAGACTCTGATAATGCTACCTACTTGGATAATGAAACATTTCAGGCATGTTCAGGGAGCAGCAAGGATTCCATAAATGTTTTAAACAGATCTTTTAACTAAAAATATCATTTGATCATTTAAAAACTTTAAAGCACCCATATCTTGTCCTGGGAGATTTCAGTCTGCCTTTGCTTGATATGGAATTTGAAATAAATCTGGAGTCCATGGCCTCCATGCCAACCATGAACCTAATCTGAGTTATTGAGGTCCTTTGTCCCAGAACACTTGTAAAATTATTAGAAGTTGGGGAAATATCTATCCATGCTCAGATTACTCTCTGGTTTCTTGAAACTGTAAAAATTCTTGAGGCTATAATGGGCAGATTGACTTAATAACCATCTGGAATGAGCAGGTGATGATGATCCTATCAGATTGCTCTGTTGTGGGGTTTTTTGGAATCATAGTTCATCAGGTTAACCCAGATAGACACAAAAGCCCTGGAATTGGGGGCTGGAGGAAAATGTATTTTATAAAAGGGGATTATAAACTTGTAAATTTCTTGAGTTATTATCTAAATATATCACTCCTAGCATATTGCTTAACTTCTATGCCTTATTCCTATTATCTAGTACTCCTAATATCCTACATGTGAGCCCCCTTCCAAACTAGGAAAAACACACGGTTACTTCTGAATAGTATTCTTTATTATTCCTTATCCATAGAAAGAAATCTTGCCAAATCAGAGCAACAATTTGCATCACTATAGATGGACTCTGGGAATCACTAGGGCGGATTTTTATCCTCTTTTTCCCTCCTGACCAAACATTTTATCTTCACCGTCTCTGTGCCTTCTGGAATGAAGGGAACACAGGCTACATTTCACTACATACAGTATTTCTAAAACTATGCTTGTAGTACTAAACATGCCTTACCTATTTTCTTTTGCCTCTGTATCGTCACTATAGATTTAAAAACCACTTCCATCTATCATATTAATCTACTCTTATTTCTCTACAAAAATTTTCTAACCACTAATGGCTATATTTCTTTGTCACTAAACTCAATAGATCCTTGATTCAAATCTCTATGTAATCCTGTTGCCGTTACACTTTTTTCCTATCGAGTTTAGCTTTTTAATCTAATTTCCTTTGTCCTTTACTTTTTCCTGAAAGGCCAAAGTTTTCAGTGTTTCACTGTGGCAGAAGGAATGCTTTCTCTCTTCTTCCATAGAAGAGTGTTTGTCTCACTCCCAACCTGAGGAAAGAAGGATGATTCTCACCTACCCACCCAGTTTTCCAAGCTGTTTCTTCCTTTCCTGTTGCGTCCTTTGCAGCAAACTCTGGCTTTTCCCTCTGGGTTTCTTCAATTTTAGTGCTGGGCATTTTGCTTTGGTTTGCTCATCACTATGTGGCTCCAGAGTTCCAATAAACTCAACTTGTTTTTTTCCCTTCCAGATACAGAAGTGCAACTATTGGTGCTTTTTTGGTAGCTGAGCCATCTTGAAGGGCTGAAAAGGGAAGGAAGAAATGAGCACAGGCACATGCAATGAATGCACCAACAGGAAGCCAACACTAGATTAAATGGTGTTGGACAATTTCTGGCTGGCCTTCAACCTTTCCATTTTTGGTTGGGCCAGGGTGACTCAGATTAGTTGAATTTCAGCCCTGGATATAATAGTAAGGCAGCATTGATTTTTCTAGTGGAGGACCTCTGGTGGGATAAGGAACATGTAGTTCTTAATTTCTTGGCAATTTTTTATACTATTGACCATAGTATTCCTCTGAACCTATTTGAGAGTTTGGAAGTATGATTTTGATAGTTTGGCAGATGCTGTCCCATATCCTGGAGTCTGAGGGCTTATTATGCACTTATCCTGTATTGTCTATTAAGGATAATTTTAAATGTTATTGTATGTCTTCTTGAGTCATTGCTGATTACAGCTTGAATAATTAAAGTTAGTCATACAAAATAAACATGATTTGGAACCACGTATATATAAAAAAAAGACAAGCAGTGAATGTAATGCTTTAAGTAGAAAACTAGATTAGGAGTTCAGAGAAATGTCACCAGTTTTATTCTTGGCAAATGTGTGGCTGGTACACATCTGTGATGTGTGAATGACCATATCTTTTTTGTTGCAGCATTCATAAGCCTAAAAAGATGAATTACTTTTATTCTAAACCCTAACCCAATTTCTTTGGGCTTTCAACTAACATCCAGTGTGACCCTGCTCTGATTTGTAACTGTTTTTATTCTTAATTTATTTTGATAAAAGCTGCCACCCAATTGTATTGTTCAACAAGCCATGATTTTGAAATCATTGCTTAAAGGAATATGTGA